TAGTGATTTCTTGTTAGTGCTGTTCAACTAGATTTTCAAATTCATTTCTTTCTCTATAAAGTTTTGTTATTAATTGAGCAATGAATGTTTGTGTAATTTTAAATTTGTCGATGCTCATTTTAAATCCTCTTCTTTCTTTAATAAGTTCGTCTATATGCTTCCTTAATTCATCTCTTTCTTTAATGAGTTTTTCTAATTCTTTTAAATTTGTTTCTAAATTTTTGCCATTTATTTCATTTTCTTTAAAGAATAGTTCAACTCGTTTTTTTTCTCTCTGTAAGTATTTGATGTGTTTGGTAAGAAATTTATCAAGCTCCTTCTTCGGAGTTAAATCACTAGAATGAGTATAATGTAAGTTGACTCGATAATTAAGTCATGATTTTAGATCCGAAAATTACCCGTGATTTGTCAAAGCTATAAATTTATGACTGACTCTAGTAGTTTAGATTTTTTTGACCTGAAATTACAACGCTCTAATTTACATTTTCTAATAATAAAAATTAGCATATCATACAATCTTAGAGAATATCCCTTTTATCAAACCAAGAAGCTTACTATAATAATTTATATTCAAGAATATTGTTACCTCTTTGGATTCTTTAAATGAAGATATATTAGTTTCTTCCCAAGATAAAAATTTATAATTGAAATTGTAAATGATAGAGAAACTAATTATTCAATTTTGTATAGACACAATTATTTCGTCTGAAGATTTTTCGGCTAGTGAATCACTAACAAATGAACTTGAAGTTTGCAAAAAAAATGTTAATATCCTAGAAAAATATATAAATAATACTGTTAATGATCAATATAAATTTTATATATGGCCTTTTACTCTTTCATTTATATTTAATTTGTTTCTTTATTATTTTTATCACCTTTTTATATATTTTCAAGAAAATTAATACACCTTACCAGAAGCATGTATTCTTCATTATTTATGATATTTGATGTGAATATGTTTGAACCTAGATTAGTGAGAATTTTCAAAAGCAATTCTCTTTTGAGCTTTTTATTATTGAGTTAGTATAAACTATTATTTAGTTAATTTATTTTTTTTCGATTCAAATTATTTTAATTATTAAATGAAAATTACGACATATTACCACTGGTGATCATCACCAGTTGCTAAAATTTAGGGTTAGGGTGAGGTTATAGGGATTTTTTTTTATATATAATATAATATAGATTAGATATAAGGTCTTGATTTTGAGTCAGCCAGGGCGGCCCCCCAAAGTGCTGTTACATGAGCCGCAGCCACTGCATATGATATGAAATAACGATAGATGACAAGTTATCAGTCAATACTTTCATAACGAACTATTCTATGACAAACTCTAGGTATATAATGAATTAAAATTGTTGAGATAAGGCTACACAAATTTAATATCTTGGTTTTCATAACATGAAACTTTTAAACAGACATGGCTAGTCAGCTTTTTTTTAAAATTTCATATATAAAAATCTTATAAAATTTTTTTTAAAAACCGCTATTAAAACATAAATTTTTTTTTTACAATTTTTCAAAATGTGACCTGGCCAGAATATGAAAACCAATTGATTATTGCATGGCCTAAATATTGTTTCTTAAGAAAACATATTAATTTTGTTTAGCTAACTTTTTTTACAGAAAGAGTTGAGAAAACATGATGAGCACTTTTATTTCAGTCATAAGAAGAAATAAATTTTATTCTAACGTGTATGCCTCAAACCCTTTTAGTGCGTTTAGTTTTCTAAAATAGTTAATTTATCTGAATCTGGTCATTTGAAATATAATTCGATGTTTTTAAGATTCCACAATTACATCATAACCAAAATATATTCGATAATTATAGTCAAGTAATGAATGAATAAATACATGTCTGTATAATGAAAATTAAAAAATTTTGATTTATATATAATACAAATCGATTCGTAAATGTAAAATTTATTAAATAAAATTACACGAAAATTTCACCAATTTAATTGGAATATTTTTATTATATACATTGCTCTTTGGATTTGTTGATTTGTCATAGCGAACATAAGTATACTTTTTAGATAAGGAATAGTTTTGAAGGAAAACAAATGACATTAATTTGTATCTATTATTCTTTAAATATGTGCTTATACTAATCGATCCTTTTATTTCGCTTGTTACATCATTATTCTACATTAAAATTGATTTAAAATTTTCCAAACTATATTAAATGTATTGTTAATTATTATTAGCTTATTAAATAGAGCGTATTATTAGCAATTTCTTTATTACGAACATATATTGTTACTTACCATTGTACATTGTTCCTGTTCTTTTTGCATGTTGCTCTCGATATAATAATGAAAACAATAAAAAGAATATTAGCATTTCGATATAAGACATACCAAATAAATAAGATCTTATATAAAATCGGTTTAATCGTGTACACATATGTGAGCTACATTGAATACTGCAAATACGTATCATCACAAATTATAAAAATGCTATTCGGATTTTTTGATTACATTGGAATAGAAGTAGGCCTAATCCTGAAATAAAATACTACAAATAGAAAAAATAATAATGAAAATTTGATAATGCCTAGAGTGTCCAAACTTATGCGATTTCAGAGATTTTTCTTTGTCTAAACAATAAAAATCACTAAAATCGTATAAGTTTGGACACTCTAAATAACTTGACATGTAGATAGATGATAATTATAATTACATAAAAAAATATATATAGATTCACGTATACTTACTGAGAATAAAGAGATATAAGCTTGCCGAATTAATGCAGAGATAATTGATATTTAAGAAAGACTTAAAGTCAATTGTCTATTAGACATTAATAATGCCTAATAGACAATTGACTTTAAGTCTTTCTCAAATATCAATTATCTTTGCATTAATTCGGCAAGCTTATATCCCTTCATTCCATATATTTTTTTATGCAATTATAATTATCATCTATCTAATTTATGCGACATGTCAAGTTGTTTCTCTCATCTTTATATAAATATAAGCTAGTATGTCCTACTACAAATTTCAAGTAATATTAATTTGAAAACCAGAATTTAACACTTTCAACACAATTTATAAACTTACTTGTACCAAAATGAAGTGTAGCAAGTGCGGACAAGAAAATCGTTTAGAAAGTCAATTTGTTTAGGATAGTGTTCGTCATAAAACATATTTTATATGTAAAGAATTTCGTGACAAGAAAAAGAATAAGCGAACTCTTCCGGAAAGAGCTGTGAATTCAACTGACAATAATGAATCTATTGACCAACCTGAAGCTATTAGTCAGGAGATTAATCCTATACATACTGAGATTGACTATCACGAAGTGGGAAACTTTGTCACAAGTAGAATTCAAGAGCTAACAGCGAGTGCAAACATTGATGGGGTAGCTGATATAGCTTACCAAATGCATTTATTAGTCAATATGAATACTCAAAACATGACTGCGAAAGAAATTGCAAACCTTGTCATTACTGAAATTGAAGGAGGGGATGATTATTTGTGGATGTAAGCATAGTTTTTGTTAATTGTTGTCATGATTAATGATGATGGAAATTGGATCTATTTTAACATGAAATCAGATTAGTTTTTTTTTTTCTTGAGATTTTTTTCATTTTAGATTAGTTTTTTTTTCCTTTTTTTTTTTAAAAAAAAAAAAAATTTCTTTTTCATTTAACTAATACGTGTATTATTAAAGATATCAAGAAGCAGACATATCAAGTAAGTTCAGTAGTACAGTTTGCAGGTTCACGTACTTATGTTGCCAGTCAAAAGAAGCGAAAAGTGAAGAATATAAAGATTCGAATCGTAAGCGGCACATGCACTTTGATTGTAGAAGCAAAGTAACAATACGAGTAGATACAGTCCTTGGTGTTGCGAAAGTAGACATCTGTCATGGATGTCTTCACCCATGTCCGAATCTATGCGCTGAGATGTCAGACGAGCTGCTAGAAGATGGACACAACAAGAGCAGTAAATATGAGCACCAGCACAGGAAAGCGCAGCCAAATATTAGAAAGTTTCTTGATGACTATAAAATCATATAATGTTCGTCCAAATTTCACATTCACAGACAAAGACTTTGCGGAAATCAATGCCATATCAAAGTTTGGGGAGCTTCAGTGGTTCAATTATGCGAATGGCATATGAACAGGTAGTTACATAAATCAAAATAAATTTATCGATTAGCCAACTTAAATTTT